CTCGTACTAGAAAATCGCATGATAAAATTTGTTAATTAATTTAAAATTTTAAAAATTTTTTATGCAAATAAATGCTAAACGAAATCAAAATTTTGCTTTAATGCATCCAAAGTGTTAATTAACGAAAATTGATTTTTTTTTTTTAAAAAATTTCCTAATACATATTTAAATTTGTGTTTTTGTAATTGTGCTTAATCTGAAAGATGCTAATTGGAGCTTTATATATTGTAAATTATTATTTCTATTAAAGGAAAAGACGATGACATGTACACATATAACATATACGTATGGTTGAAAACAAACTACAATACCATAGTTATAAGGTTAAAATATTCAGACATATCCATGCTGATATACCAGACAATTGAGGTGCAATCAATCTAGTCTCAATTCTGAAAATTTATCTAGAATTTATTTAAAATTGTTGAAAATTTTTGAAAAAAATAAACGTTATAAAAAGGCAAGCAAGACATTTTAAATATTTATTATAACTTTTCTCTACCGTAACATATATGCAAAGACTTAGTTTCCTTTGATATTTTTTAAGTTCATTTCTTATTCATTAGCACATAGGCAGTTTAAACATCACTTATTTTTGATGAAATAATAATTATCTCCATAGTGCACTAAAAATAAACAACCAAGCACCACCATTTCATCTTCACCTTTCAGCACTTCTTCAAACATTGTTATATCTCTTTATACATAGATACTGGTTTCAAATAGATACAGTTACTTATCTAGATATCAGACACTTTTTTTGACCAGTCATAAAAAGTATGGAGGAAATATAATAATCAAGAAACTTGCTTATGACCCACTCTTTTTTAAAATGTTTATTAGCGATATTAAGGATTTCAATGTCTTCATATACACTATATTTCCATTTTATTTTTGGTCTATTGCGATGTCTGGTTGTTATTGGTTTATCATCAAATTATATCATTTTCTTTATACTATTTTTCCATCATGTGGTTGACCCAAATAAGATATCTCTACTATAACAAATCATACAATGTTTTATTTTTTTATAGTAACTTATCGATCTTACTATTTCCTATTCGCTGAAGGTTCTTCATCTATTCTGAAAGAAAAAATGATCGAAAATCTTAAAACCACAAAGTTCAATTAGTAGAGTGGTTCCTTTTACGTACTTGGTTTCTAGATAAGGTTAGGCCTACAACAGCAGAAGTGCTTCAATATGTTCGAGATTTTCTATGTCCGAGCAGCGCGAATAAGATTTGGTTCGAGCAGTCAAAACATTCGAAAATATTCAAACTTTGGGAATAGCAAGTAATGCTATTTGGTTTTCAGCGAATGCTTGAGCACTTTATGGTGTTGTTGTTGTAGTCCTCAGAGAACTATATAGTAGGGTTAGAGTAAAAAAGGGTTAGAAAAAGGCGGTATTGTTTAGTATAAGGAATGGAATGAATGGGTGGGTTGGACTTAAATGAAACTAATCTAGATAGAGATGAAAAAATCTAGCCAATAGATCAGTGTTTGAACATGTTGGGGCATTTAGAGAAACCATTTTTAACATATTGAGTGTTTTATTCTTGAATGTTTTTTTTGTTTTATTTTTATTTAAAATGAATTTTTTCATTTTTCATGGACGGTCAGACGGTCAGACGGTCATGGACGGTTTAAAAAACTCTAAAACTATTTCACTTACAACTACAATTAGTACCAGTAAAAATATTGTATTGTTTTTGTTTTCACAAATGTGATATTAAAATATAAGCTCGTAATCTAAACAGGAATACGAGTTATATGAAAAATAAATCAAATAATTGTGTGAGTCTTCATTCTTGATTTTTCAAGTACAGTGGCACCTTTGTTTATAACTGAAAACGTGTATTAATATTACTTGTTTTTATATCAATTAACCATTCATTTTCTAACTTGTGCGTGCTTGTTTACATCGCATTGGCTGGTTTCTATATGAAGTACTCTTGATAATCGCACAAAGTCTTATCTGTTTAAGGTAAGCCCATTGCGAATTTTATAGCTAAACCACGTAAAACATTTAATTTATTTTTTTGTTATTGTTTCCACTAACCTATAATATGTATTTCGAGAGCTTGTGCAAATGTCGCCAAACATTCTGTATTTACATATTGTATTTAGTAGTGTTAGCCTTCAGGAAGTTATCAAATGTAATGAATATGAATATATTGTATAGATCTATGTATTTCTCCTATAAACGAGTACTTGTATACTCGTATGATAATGAACACAAAAGCTCAAACCACTTAGTCAAAAACCACTATGTACTCGCTACTTATTTATAGCCAGAAGTGGAACAATAGCTTTATCTCTCCTCTTTCTGCTTTGCGATAATCCCTACCCAATTTATCAATTTGGCTTGGTGAAAATAAATATGTATTAATTATTTGAAGTACAAATAAAATATTTAATTTCGCGTATTCAAAAGAAATTAATATGGACCATAACACTATATTTATTATTATTATTATGTAGAATATTTAACACCGCCGGAGTTTTATCACCGAAACATTAACATTATCATTGAGAATATAAAGACTTAAAAGCAAGTATTGAATAGATTAAAAAAAGTATGAAAAGCTGAGGATTGAAGATTGAAAAAATTATATTAATTATGAAATTAATAAGTAAAACTTGTGATTGAGAGTTTGAAATTAGAAACGATATTGCACTTTTGCCTGGTGACTTCTTGGTTAATAATCTGTCTTTGGTTGGATATATTTGAGTTAGAAGAATGAGATTTTACACATTGATATTTGATAGATAGATTTTGAAAGCATTTAACCATTCACGCTTAACGACGTTTGATATATCATTATATTTGCTAATTTGTAAAAGTAACTGTATTGAAAAATAAATTTAATTAGTAATATACATTCTTACATTTTGTTAATAGATTCAATATTATTTCCATATAAACTCACTTGTCCGCTTAAGTAGAAGTTTTTAAAGAAAACTTGTCTCTTAAAGGAGATATGACTACCAGTAGAGAATTCGTTACATTTGTAATTCTCTCTCTCTCTCTCTCTCTCTCTCTCTCTCTCTCGCCCAAATATTTTAATTTCTTCAATATTCGGATCCTTACATATATAAAATGTTGCAATTAATTTGAGATGAGAGCCATGGTTCTAATGTTATAGAGCAATTTTATGCTCTTTTCAGTCATGACCATAAATGTCTTGGTGATCGTTTTTTCACTGGTTTGGAAGAGAGAACAGAAGCAGGCGTATCGGATCAGCATCACAATGGGCAATAGATGCCTGCGAGTGCAAGTGCTGACAACTGTCAGCGCGCGCCTTCTGAACCTAACCTAACCTAACCTAAATCATGACCAAAACTCATACTATACAGAGAGGGACACCAAAATTTTCAAAAATATATGTATTTAGTCCTAATTAGTGCAAATTCATACATTTATTATTAAGCAACACTGTTTTGACGTACGTGACGAGACAGAATAAGCCTCATCTCCGTGACTAAATTTTAATCGAAATTTCTCTTATTCTCAATATTTGGATTCACAATGGAACCCCAAATAATTAATTTTATTTGACGTGACAATGACAATGACTCTTTGTTTAATATGGTCCATACTGTTCTCCCCTTATCGTTTATATGAATGTATTGCAAATATCGTTATTGTTGCTTTTCTTTTTGATAATACTATATAAAGATATATAGTATAGGTATGTATTATTCCCATTTCAGATTGTTTACTGCACTTATATTCAGTTGTTGTTAGTACTTTTAATCTATAATCTAGTATAATCTAGTTTCTATGGGACTATAGGACTAATTCATAATTAATCCCATGCTTTCCAGTTAATTATAATTCCCTAACAACTACATTTGCGGTATAAATATGTTTTGATTTTTAACATTGTCAATATAGTTGTTAATGGTTTTATACTTGTCCATTGTTTATACTTGTCCATTTTTGTAAAATCGCGCCATCAATAATTCATAGAGCATTTAAAAAAAATAATAATAAAAAATAATTGCTATTTCCTTTTTTCTACAACTTGACATGAGTAACATTCGCTGGGTTTTATTATTTTGATATTAGTCGTACTATTGTCCTAGCATTATGAATATAAACCTACGTAAACCGACCTATTAAGCCTTTCACTCTATTAACTCTCAGATCACACCTAGTGACTTTTAGCCAATATTATGGCACATACGTAGAAATGAAATACGTTTTCAGTTCAATGAAAGAAGTAATCTAATCTATAGAGTTAAAAAAAGATAGAAAAAGGCAACAACAAAATAATTGCATTGTTTATTGGCAATTCATAAATAACAAAATGTATATACTATACTATATATTATTATAATTAAATATACATATATGTATATATATATAAATACATTGAAAGTGGAAAAAATTAAACAAAAAATTTCGTGATAAACTTCAAAAGAAATTCTGCATAAATATTGAAACCATAGAGCATTTAGTTGAACCAAAACCTTTCAAACGAGCTAAACACTTGAGTGTGTTGGAACGGACACACTCCAAAGGGACGGGTCTAACGTCAGGCGTATGGCGTCTGTCTCTGTACTTCTAAGATATGAGCTATAGTGTTTATTAGTGTTACGTAGAAGAATTGTAGTGTAGAATGTCTTCGGCTATTACTTACAGAGTGATTTGGTAATTATGTGAATAATTCGATTTTATTGTAAATATAGTGCATCCATTTCGAATGGAACTTGTATCTCGGAACTACGAAGAAAGGACTTGTTGTTTTTGTAGTGTTTATTTTGATTTTGTTGTGATTATTATTTGAAGGCATTGAATTGATTGAAATTGAAATTATTTCAAATATAATGTTCAAATGTTGAAATGTTCAAATATTAAAAAAATTGTTGAAATTGAATATTGTTGTGTATCCGCATGAAATCGCTTGTTGATAATTTATAAAACTTTTTATTTTTTATTTTGTGTATTTTATTTTTATTTTGTTTTTTCTTTGCTTTTATTGTAAATTTTGTAGGATTAAAAATAATGAAAGTGCTTCGAATCTGTTGGATTTGGGCGAAAATGAAGAAAAAGAAGTATTTAAAGAGCTGCAAAGGTAGGTACTTCTCCTTGTAAATTGTTGTACCTTTTATTTAATATTTTATATTTTTTATTTTTTAATAAATAATAAATAATAAATAATAAATAAATAACAGAAAAATTTTAGTAGCAAATTAGTTAAAATAAAATAACAGAAAGTATATTTTTGGCACTTTAAATCTAATTAGTTTTTTTTTCTTCTAAAAACTGCTGTGTTTTTTCCTCTCTTAACAAACACTGTTTTGTTGCATTTTGTTAAAATATTATTAAATTTTTTACGGAGAATCGTATATTTATACTGCTAGTATAAATGCCCAGTATAAAAGTATAAAATTTAATAGTTTCAAATTTGCATGCATTTCGGTTTTTATGTATTTTTTTCTAAATTTTAATTTAAAATTTAATTTTTCTAAATATTGAAATTTACATTAAATAAAACAACACATATCTGTGTAAATAAGTTGACTTCAAATGAAATATTTTCAAATGTATGTGTATTATTATTATTAATCAGTATATAGTATACATTTAATTTTTTGTTTTGTTGTTGTAACTTTCAGGAGAGGATCGACACAAGACGACGTTTTAACAGTTACAGCGAATAAATTGAATACTATAGAGGAAAGCTACGAGAGTAACAATTCCACACAGACTGTGAATAATTCAGTCTTAAGTTTAAATATACAAAATAAAGAATTAAGTGCAACGGATGAACCAACAACAACAATAGCAACTACCATATCCAATACAGTGCCAGCAAATAGCAGTGAACTTTCTCAAGTACTGGAATACCCTGTCAATAGTAACTCTACACCAGCAAATACGGGTAATAACAGTAGCACAACTATTAGCCTTGCAACAACAGAGGCAGGCTCAGGGTCAGGTTCAGCTTCTGCTACAGGTTCAACTGTTACTAGTACAACTGTAATAGCATCTACATACAGTTCAGAGCAAACTGTTTCACCAGTAATAAGTACTACTGCAACAGTGGTGAGCAGTGCAACTCAAAGAACACCAAGTCCGAGCGATTTTAATAACAGTTCAAAGGTGAAACTTAATAAAACACCTTCATACACAAAACTTTCCAGTAGTTTAGGCGTCAGCAGTGGACGTGTTGAAGAGGTAAGAAGCCTATGATAATATGTTTTACAATAATAAAATCATATGATGATACGATACTATAATCTCGGCATATCCATTTGACAACCGACTTAAGTAAACTCACCTATTTTAAAAAACTTTTTCCACCATGCATAGTTTTTGAGTTAACGGTCCTTAAAGTTAGAAAACTTTAACATGGAAATCACCCACAAGTAGACGCACTACTATAGTTGCTTGTGTAATCAATGTAGGTTCGGTTAGATTAGGTTATACCGGCGATCGCTGGTGGATCCACTTAGGCCTATTGGTCCATTGTGTTACCGTATATGTAGGAAAAACTCAGGGTTTAAAACTACCTAGAGCCTTTGGCGAAGCTTAAAATACTATTTAGTGTCAGGTCTTGTAACTGATCAAGATCCTCAAGAAAAGGAGTTCATAAAGTTTTGAGTCGCCGTCGTGCATGAGTTGGGCAAAAACATAATAGATCAGAGGCTTGATTGAAAGGGGGACCTAATCTTCTAGCATGGTTCCCTAGTTTACAGTGATCTGTAAGTAAACCTACCAAAAGACCAACATCTCTACGGGGTATCTCAATGAGAATTTTGGATTTCCTTTTATCTGAACGTGGCCTGATTGCATACAGATGCCTATATATCATCAAGAGTCTTTTCATCTTTTATAAAAAATTTCAACACAGAAAGAACTCAGTGACAGTTTGCATGACGTGAGGTCCTGAAGCACCCTTTCTGGCTAGCTTGTCAGCTCTGTAATTGCCAAAAGTATATATCCTTATGACCGGGAACTCAGAGGGACTACCTAACGTCCATAAATCTCTAGACGGAAATTCGACACTAAATTTCCTGTCGAAATTGAGAATGAGGGAGATGTAATCAACATTTTTGGCTCTGCATTGTGAGGCAGCTTTAAGTATAAGAGCAGATGAAGTTGCCATTTCTTCACTAATAATATCCAGTGGCAGTAAGTGAAGCATCAAATCTAGTGAAATAGACGGTGTGATACATAATACACACCATCTTCGCTGAATCCTGTTAAGTACTGAACAGTACGAAGGTTTGTCAAGAGCTGTCCACCATATCGTGACACCATACAGCAATATAGGCCTAATGGCAACTACATAGAACTATTGAGTGATACAAGGCTGTAGACCCCACTTCTTACCACTAGCATTTTGACATAAAAGAAGCGCAATATTGTTTTTCCTAGCGCGCTCTAAAGTGTTTTGCTTTTATTAAGTTTCATATCGAAAACATACATAGAAATTTGGCTTCCTCCTTAAAATGTAGTACACAATCTTGTAGAGAGGGTGGAGAAAGATTCGGAACTGTGGGATACCACAGATACATAGGCAACTTACATTTATATTAAAAACCAGATAGAGCTCTGCATGCATGAGGAAAATTCATGAAAACATCCACTCGAATGCCACTTGCAGTAAAGTACCCTATTCTAATTTTAATTGAACGTACCTAATAATATACATAATAAATAATTATTTTATCGTACATTTTATTACGTTCTGTACTTCTAAAAGTACAAAAAGAATGTACACTGTGTGCACCCGTTCGTAGCGTACATTTCACAGACTTAAATGTACAAAAAGAATGTATACTACAGGTAGTGTAGTGTACATTTGTAGTGTACATTTGTAATGTACATTTATAGTGCAAAAATATACAAAATAAAACCACACTATATAGAGTAGAAGTGTAAATGTAGGCAAACAAAACGTTTTAAAATGTTCTGTATATTTAAATCATATATGTGTGTATACGAATTCTTCAAACATGTAGAGTTTGTACATGTGCAGTACATTACATACGATAGTGTTACTGATTCTAGCAAAGCAAAAATGCACTGTGCCTTACTAGCCTAACAAAAGTTATAGTATCAATAGTACGTTTGCAGTCCAATGTTTTATCTATATATGTTCAATTTAAATAAAATTTAAAAGGCTTAAATTTTTAAAAATAAAGATAAAATAAAGACTTTAAATATTTTATATTTCGTTATTTTATATATACTGCAGTGCACATTTAGAATCCATTTTCTATCATGTCTCAGACGGATTATCGGCAAATAGATTAGGATGTATAAACAATTTAAAACAAGATTAATTAATACAAACACGTAATTGTTAGGAGTCCCTATCATCTTTAGACTATTTCGTCATTTGATTAATTTAATAATAATTAAATTAAATTAGGTTTAATTGTAACCTAATTTTTTTTTTCTCAAAATAAACGAATTTAATGTTTTGATTTTGTGTTTTGAGAAATCATTTTATAGTTGATATACAGTCTTTATATACATTTTGTTATAATAATAATAATAATAATTATCAGTTGTTTACATTGGATATTATAATTATTACTATGAAGTATACCTTCATTATAATCCGTGCTTGTGATTGATTTTCTAATATAAGCCTGTTTGCTTCCCATATGTAATTTATATGCATATATTTTGTTGATCGATAACATTTGATCGTTATCTTAGGATACATTATTTTATTATGATATGTACTCAATAGAGCTTCGAATATTTTTTTTAGCTGTTAGCAGCTTCAAGCTTTTTTATGTTTTACTATGTCTGTACTCGATCACAACGAATTCGTAAATATTCGAATTCCCGTATATTCGAGCTGCCCGAGCCTCAAACGTGAACATTTGAAAGTACTAGTATTCACAGTAATTCAATAGTAAGGTAATCCACAGCAAATCCTAAACTGACCAAATTTGTCTAAAAATAAATTGAAAAATAAACTTCCTACTACGAAGTGTAATGTAATGAACCAATGATTAAGAAAATGAAAATCAGCTACTCTGTTTAATTCACATTTTAGACTTTGACTTGGTTTACGACCATCAAAATGTACTCACCAAGTCTGCAAAGCATGAAACTATAGAAAATTTTGATATGTGAGCACCCATTAAATATTCAATAACAATGAAGTTGGATAAATACAATATTTAAAATGTTGTCTTCCTTATCATACATAATAGGGGTACTCATCTAAAATGATCTGCTTAGTTTACACAAACTTGATAAATTTACATGAAAATTGTACCGAATAAATTTATATCGTATAAATTTATTTGTCGTCAGACCTAGTTGCATTCTAACACAAGCAATCATTTACAAAAATATCTTTGTAAATACATTATCATTTGGACTTTTCGCTCGATTTCTGTATTCTATTTCATAATTTAATAATAGTGACACCGCTGATCAATAAAGTTTACACAAATATTTAAAATTACCACAATATTGGCTAAAAAATTGCGCCGCTGAACGTTCCATTTTGTGCTCTCATGATTATTCCTGATAAAAATAGTGCTATTATATAGCAAATTGATAAATTTACACGTTCATATAACCGTGCACGTAAATGCTTAAAATTATATATTTCATAAATATATGTGCCTAGATAAGTACCCTTAATATTAAATGTAAAAGGAAATGAATGCCGATTAAATATACGATTGTATATACAATATATGCACTTTACTCTTTTTATTAAAAATGAAATAAATTGTTAAATTAATGTTTATTGCATCAACTGATGGAAGGTATAACAATTATTCTTACTTACTAAGTAAGACCTCAGTACCCGTTTGCGGAGCTTGACATAGCTTAACATTCCTTTCTAGGTACCTCTGCTTCATGTGCGCTTTTTCTAATCTCATAACGAAAGGATGGTGAATCCAATTCCATGTTTCTATGAATACCTGGCCAAAGTAAGCGCGAGTCGACTAGCCAATCGACTTTTTTTAGAATTATTCAATTTATTAGAATTTATTAGAAATAAAGACTGTAAAGTTTGTATCCATGACTTACATCACGACCGAAATATCTGTTAAGAATAAAAGTACGATTTTAAATGAAGTGAATTAACAAAGTTGGATAGATGACATATACTAGATAGGTCGTGCAGTAGTTATTATGAGCTGTTTTATCATAGATAATGAATGCTTTAAAAAAGATTAACTTGTAAAAACTGCAAAAATATGTTCAGTAATATTTGAAAATTGTGTTTCTTATGGTGAAATAAATTGTATAATACATGTACAGTAAAAGGTCGTTGAGTCGATATACTAGCAAGTAGAAGTTGTAGTTATGATAGATAGAGAGATGTTTTAAATGTTCCATTTGCAAACAGGAGTCAAATACGATGAGTCTTTAAACCGCTCATTTTTGTAATGATGAGGTTGTAATGAATTTTATAATAAAATAAATCAGTACAAGAACAGCCAGAACGCAAATAGGTGATTGGATCCAACAACTATATATACTATATTGCTTTTATTTAGAAACGCAACGAATGCTTACCAATAGTTACCCATTTTTTTTTTATAAAATGAACCATCTACTAAGAAATTTAATTCAAAATCTACAACATGGTCGTTTAAACAATGCTACTGTATGGAGCAGTACTATTACCATATAACGATAATTAGCCTTAGCCATAAAAGTGAAATGCTTGAGTAGAAAATCGGTATGAATTAAGAAACGATCATATAAAGAGTAAACTATGATAAATTGACACGAAGTCGAGTATCCTCGTAGTTGGTTCAGTCACTCGTGGATCAAGAGTGCAGAACTCTACAATTCTCATAGCGTTCTAAAAACAACAGCCGATGGAAGCAGACTTACTGGAAGTACATTTCTAGCGTTGCAGTAAGACCATGGAGAAGACCAAGAGTGGACAAAGAAAACGATGGGTGAAATAAGATGAGATCCACTTCATGCTGCAATGGCTATAAACAATTCAGTATAAGTTGTTTAAAAGTATAAGTGGATTAAAAACGTTTCGATATAATTATTATGGTGTGCAATTATTGACAACAAAATCTCCAATATATTAATAATAACTATATTTGATTATTTTTCCATAATAATTAATAGTGAAACAGCAAAATCTGTGTGCGTGCCATGTGTCTACTTAATTATATTTTCATATAATAATTAACACCTCCTCACCAAGTGTCTAAATTTATAAAACACAATAAATCCAGTATTTGTTTATTTTTGTGAAAAAAAAAAAAAATTTCTTGAAAACAAAAATATAGTTTATAAAAGAGAATTGATTAGAATACCCTTCGCAAAAAGCTTCATTGAAAGCTTTCATTGATAACACATATTAATGTGAATGCCTCGATATTGATAATGGAACGCCAAATCCCCCAAATGAAGTCGAATGAAATTTATGAATAATATTTTTAGTTTAGAACTGCAAATCGCCAGTGTCTGTTATTTGGGGCGCGACTGTGTTCAGTGCTAACTGCGCGCTTGGCTGAATAAATCGCGGAACAAAAAACTGCGGAACAAAAAATACTTCATTAAATTCGCAACTCCAATTTCAAATATGCTAATTGGAAAAAACAGAGAAACAGATTTTTCAACTTAATTTAACCAAAGTCGGTTATATAAACGATTACACAATTTTACACTTGCCAACGTGTTCTTTTCATGCAAGAAGTTGTGTCTTCGTGTCTTTGAGTCTTCGATTCTTTGATTCTTCGAGTCTTCGAGTGTCACCAGCTGCAGACTTTTATGACCAAAAAGTCAACTTTTGTATACATTGGCAACTGATAAGCGCACTATTAGTGGCCATTTTAATTGCTCAGGTGTTCAATATGATTCATTGATGATTAAACTAAGGTTTTTATTACTTCTAATAATAAAAAAAAACTAATGTAAAAAAATAGTAAAAAGATTGCTTATAAATTGTGCATTTATTGGCAGGATACTATAAGCAAATCGAGTGATACATCAGGTGAATTAGTGCGTGGCAACTCTGCACAAGAGTCTAGTTCTTTATCGATCGAAAAGTCGAAAAGTGGTTCGAGGCTATCTGAGCGTGCTAAAAAGAAGTCCTGGTATAACGTTTTATACCCAAACTATAAGTCACGCTCACAGGACTTTAAGAAATTGTTTAAGGAGGTCCCAAATGATGAACGACTAATTGTTGGTGAGTAAGAAATATGTTTAATGACATTTTTATAAACTATACACCTTCACAATAAGTACATCCTTCAAACATTTTAAATTGTCTTTATTGTTCTTTTTCCTAATTTTAACTTTCATTTTAATGTTGATTTTAATTTTCATTTCAAATAAAATTTCAGTTAAAATAATTTAATTATTTTTTTTCATGAACTCTTCGTGCATTTTAAAAAAGTGCATTTAATATGAATATGGAAACATCATATTTCATAAAAACTTAATTTAAAAAAGTAGAATCCTTGATATACACATATGGAGATAGGTATTACGGTAAGTCAATAGTTAAGTTACGTACTCTATTCGTAACTATACGTAACTTAATTTAAAAATGATGCATGAGTTTCTACAACATATATAGACTATTACTCGTACACTAGTTTACAGAAAAAATATCTCCAAAGATTGGATCTAACGGTCTATAATGAAATTTTTCGTGGAATTCAGAAGTCTTAACGATTTGGTTATCATATACCATTCTCGTGTTCATGCAACAGTCCTTTATATATGCCGCCAAGTATTGTTCTAATATTGTCCAAGTATTGTTCGTCGAGGTGTCTTAAATAGTTACGTACTATAACATAGTTTCGTTTTTCACATTTTCGATTTTCACAGCAGTTTTAAAAAAAATTATTTATTTATTTTTTGATAAACATGGTGTTAATACAAAGTTATTATATCATCTTATAATTTCGAATTCTATTTTGATTTTTTACATTTGCGCAAAATAGGGGTTTTCACTCAGTAGCCAAAGTTTTCACCAAAGGAAAAAATTTTAATCCATACGGAAAGTTTTACTATAGAAAAATGAAATTCTTAATAATTTGTAAACAAGTGCTTTTATGGAATAATATTGAAGGGGAATATAGTATTATATTAATTTCACAAACTGTTGAGAAAGTTAATAAACAGTAGATAATAATGGGTTAAATAATACTAACTTAAAATATATATAAAAATCTACCATAAGACAGTTTTAAATTAGAATAGATAATTATTCTAGTTTTCGAGTCGAGTGCTAATACCCTTTATTTTAAGTATGTTTAGTAGATTCTTTAAATTGATAAATTGTACTCAAGACAACACCGTCTTCTAGGGGAAAAGATTATAAAACTATCCAACCTTAACATATTTTTTATGACGTATTGTTCTAATTCCCTTTATAAACCCTTTAGATTTCTCGACCTGGTGTGTTTTAAAAAGTAGGTTGGCACTAAAAAGTATCATAATGTCAATCGTCTGAAGCAAGCGCTAAGCCGAGAATGGGCCAAAATACCGCAAAGCCAATTGCGGGCAGGGTGCAATAGCTTCATTGGCCGTTTAAAAGCCATAATTCACGCTAGAGGTATTGGCCATATTGAACCAAAATAAATTAACTTAAATATTTAAAGTTATTTTCGCACATTTTCATTTATCTCATTAAATTTTTTAAATGCAATGTCGGCAACCCTGTATATTGTATAAAGATTGAAAGTCGGTCTACAGGATCAACTTATTTAGACCCTATTGGTCCATTGTGATACCACTGCTAAACACGGTAAATGGTTTTATACACGGTATACACGGTATAAAACCATTTCGTGGTTTTCAAAAATCTTAGAATGTTTTCGCTCTTAGCCGAACTTCTGTGAGCAACAGAAGTTCACCTTACTTCACCCATAACTGTGTAGATAAAGAAGTTCTGTTTAACAGTTATTTCTTTCTCCCCATTTTCAGAGGTTCTACAATATGCACAGGAGTAAACTCCCAGTCTAAGAGTGCGACTATTAAATAGCCAATGATAGGTTGTACAAGCAATGATCTGAAACATCCTTTTAGTATAGAAAATGATTTTTAAATATTTTTTTACTACAATATGGACTATTGTGCGATTGATCGACGACAACTTCCAGTATCGAATACTGGATATGAACGATATTATTTTAAATGAAATTGAACATTTTTTATTACATTTTATAGTAAGAAAAATTGTCGACACTTTAACAAGCAGATACCTATATATTATTTTAGTGTTTACTAAAAGCTTTTACTAAGAACTTATAGCAATCACGAAATTGCTATATTTTTTTTAAGAAAGTTAACAAATATTTCAGTTAAAACTTTTTTAAAAAATTTGGTTTTATGTTTTAATTAATAATTATTAAAAAAAATTTTTTTTTTGATATAATTTGCAAAATTGTTGTCTTACAAAATTATTTAAATAGATTTATTGATCAAAAGTGTCATTTTTGAAAAGTGAACTAAGCTAATTTTTATATCAATAGCTTATAATTACTAATTTTATTGTAATCAAACTATTAACAAAATACTAACGTTATCTATTTTAATTTACTATCAAACACGAAATAATTTCTTAAAAATTCAGCATATCTAATCTTATACTGCCTACAGGTGCCCAAACCGGGAGAACGGACTTTTAATCGCAATGGTTTACATTTTGTCATGCCATACAAATTTATTCATATAAATTACAACTTCTGAAATATTTGAGAAATATTTAATTTAATTTTTTATATTTAAATAATTGTGCTAATATAAAAATTATTCGTTTAATTATTTTCGACTGTAGTCATTAACGTCTAACATTCGTTTTGGGAATTTGAAGGTTTTGTCTCCGATTGATGAATTGTTTCTTATCTTCCGAAAATTTCAACTCATTTCAACACTATTTATATTTTTTATGATATGATATGAGAACTTTAAATTATTAGATATTCAATTTAAAAATAATAGTTGTGATTTTTCGCATAAGTTTCGAAACTAAGTACTAGTGGATCACATAAGAGTTCACATTCCCAACTTCTAAACTGAATAATATCTATATTAATAGTAGCGCTTCAGAAACAAATATCATGGTATCAGTTTTTTTCGATTACCGTGGTGTTATGTACTCTGAATACGCCCCAGTAAAACAAATGGTGAATGAGAAACACCTTACGGGGGTTATGAAAAATTTCCGTTAGATATCTGCCAAAACCAGCCAGTCAGCTTTTAGAAGGTCAATTCATGGACCTTACGCCACGTTTTTGCACCATCATTGCTCAAGAGATTTTGTCAAAAATTCTCAAGAAATGTGATCAACCAGCAACACGGCCTTGAATAATTTCTTTTTGGTTCCGAAACAAAATTACTACTTCGAGAAATATTAGTGTCACAATCGTCTTAGGTCGATTGACAATGTCGCTCAAAGCTCATTTGGATTCTTTCTTATCATAATCATCCGTGACTATGCAGTCCTTGTATGACCTAAGCCTGTTTAACAACAGTCTTCCATTCTTCTCTGTGTTTTGCTTTTGTTTTCCAATTTCTTATGTTCATTTCTTCTAAGTTCTGCTGCACACTGTCTTTCCATCGTTTTCTTGGTCGCCCGCTTCTACTGCTGGTTCCTACTTCGTCCTCATAAATTTTAAACGGTACTCTCATATTCGGCATTCTTATCACATGTGCAACCCATCTTAATCGCTGCTTTTTCAGGATTCTTTCTCATGGAGCAGTCAGAGTGTGAGAGTGTTTAACACTTCGTACTTGTAAAGCAAAAAACTAGACAGTTTTTGCATTATTGGATATGGATTTTTTTATTCTTTAGGAGATGAGCTAATTCTCTGTTGATGTGATATATATTGTGTCTGTTAAAAGTATCTAGTGAAAATTTCGTTAAAATTCTTTTGTTTCAGCTTCAGAAAACTGATTAAAACTTAAATTATTTAAAATATTTTTGTAGAATGTCTAGTTGAAAAACTAAATATTTAAACTGCAAAATAAATATTGTCTGTTTTCATTAAAACTAGGTTAAGTTGCACATATTGAGTATTTCGAGTCCTTATCAAGAATGGGTAAAATGAACTAAAGCAACTTTCAAATTTACTCCAATAATTTTAAAAAATATATTATCAAGTAGTGAATAGAAACATTTGATCAATATTTTCACAGGAAGTTTTGCAGTTTGCCTGCCATTTTTTTTTTAAGTGGAAGACATTATTATGAGCATGAGTCACCTTTAGTATTGCTAGGGACCAGTTGACAATTTTGGTTCTTATAGTTCCTACAATCTCACAAATGTGTCACACAAAAGACAAGAGTTTATTAATAAACTTATTCTCAATTATGACAATAATGATTTATCCTTTACAATTTTGGAAAGCTAACGTGTTTGGTCACGCTATTCTTTTATTGGAAATTATCAATGAAAATCATGAAGATCGTCCAAAATCACTTGTTGTGCTAAAGAACAGTGATACTATTTCAAAACTGATAATGCCTGTTATCAAGTCACACATTGAAAAGGGTCTGTTTTCATTTTATTCCACATAATTTGATAAGAACTCTTAACAGAGCTCATGTTGATTGGTAAAAAAAAGACAATGGCAATGATCCTGTTCTAGAAGATTTGAGTAAAATTATGTTAGATGACGAATCGATGATTTATGCATAAATATTTGTTGAATGCATGGATCGCATTTGTTCGTAGTGCAAAATAAATGGTCGCCTAATTCTTTAAGAAAGAAATTGGTTTTGTAAAGCAATGTATTTTAAAAAGTTCGATGCTCGTACATACCATTTGTTTGCCAGAAGTATTCTTAGTTTTTTAATAACTTCAAATTAAAAAGTTATTAATATTAAGTGCTTATTAATAATATCCATTCTATTATCAATATATTAGGTCTGTTCCACGAGCTAGTCGTAGTAACTTTGAGTAACACTGTGTGCGTTCCACCAGCAAATTTTCGAGTAAATGAGAGCATCTGAGAGAGCATAACATCCCTGTCGAAATTTGAAAATGCTGCACAGACTTTACTCGTACATTTTATTTCGAGTAAAATTTGTGTTGATGTGTGAATCAGCTGTTTTGGCTTAAATTTAAATTGTATTTGTATTGTTTATTTGCGCGGCACTGGTCTTCTCACGACATTTTACACAAAACTGTTCCTTGAAAACCTGTGTAAAGAACGTAATTTGGCCCAGTTTGTACTTTACTTGTGTTTTACTTGAGTTTTACTACAAGTAACTCGGGAAACAGACATATTATTTTGCTAATAATTTCCCATTTAATTGATATATAACTTTTTCTTAATATGTATAGTAGAACTGAAGCATGTATATGTTAGTAGAACTGAACTATATGACAATGCTTTTCTTGTCAAAATTGTTATAAATCTTTCTGGAAATGTGATTAAACAATTATACATATTTTCAAACTCATTACAAACATTTGTTATTCAAAAGTTCAATATTTAAAATATATTTTATTTTTATTTATTATATGTTATATTCATTTCGATATCTTCAAACTGTTTTATGTCAAAGGCATAAATTCTATTCGTGAATACTCACTCGTCAATTATAATTTAATTCAATAATTCAACATCAAAACCGCTCATAAATTATTTATATCCAACAATTATTTCGTATACTCACAACTTGCAACTAAAATAATTTTTTCCTAAATTTATTTTGCCAATAAAATACAAATACTTGGAAACTTAATGGGGATAATGCACAAGTACTAACCAATTAAATCTTTTTAATTAATTAATTAATTAAAGTTGCGTAGTTAAACAATTTTTTTTTTTCCTAAATTATTATTTAAATTTCTAAATATTTCTTTCTTTGTTACAAAATCAAAATTTATTTAATTTTACTTTTTATATATACATATATATATATATATATATATATATATATATATATGCTAGTGATTTGTAATAATTTTTCTTTAAATAAAATAATGTTTCAATCTATATCTATCCTAAATATATATGTCATTTGAATGGTAATTATAAACTAATTTTGATTTTAATTTTTTTTTGTAGATTATTCTTGCGCCTTACAGCGTGATATTCTTGTACAGGGTCGTTTATACGTATCACAGAACTATGTCTGCTTTCATGCCAACATATTTGGTTGGGAGACCTATTTAAGTATCAACTGGAAGGATGTTACTTCAATAACTAAAGAGAAAACAGCACTTGTCATACCAAACGCTATTTCAATTTGTACCAACAAAGAAAAGTATTTCTTTGCCACTTTCACTACGCGGGATAAGGCGTTTTTGATGCTATTTCGAGTATGGCAGAATACGTTAATGAACAAGCAAATGCTCCCACAGGAGATGTGGCAATGGGTGCATATTTGTTATGGTGATGAATTAGGTTTAACCACAGACGACGAAGATTACATTGATCCAACAACAACAAGTATCCCAAACGAAACAGAAAGTGATATTGATTTTGTAACAGCTGTAGACGATAGCTCTGCATCCAGTTTGTTAGTTGCTGCATCCGATTTAGGCACAATCACTAGTAACAACATTAATATAAACATAAACCAAAGTATTAACCAAAGTGGTAATAAAAAAAATATTAGCAACAATAGCAGTAGTAGTAGCAGTGCCGGCAGTAGTAGCGGTGGTGGAGGTTTAAGCAAATCAAAGTCGAAGTCATATTTTTTTAATTCAAA